TAACTCATTGGTTGTTGGACTTCCAGTTAAATTTAAATTTAAATACATACAGTTAAATTTTCTGGCAGTTCTGATTATTTTTTGTTTTTAAATTTATTGTTGTCCTTCTTTTGATTGTGTGAGGAGGCAAAGTGTATCTACCTATGCTTCCATCTTGGCCGGATTCCCATTGTGATTTTTTTCTGATAAAAACTGGACATTGGACTAATATAATGATTCTCCCCCTTTGCCAGGGTTTACTATTTTTGGGTTGTTGAAGGCTGTAGTAGTCTGTTTATTTAATTTCCTACCCAAATTATTATTGCAAAGATTGTTGTATTCCTGTCAACGTGGTCACTAAAGTCTGTGCTCCTTAGCTGTATACAGCTTACGATTTGATAGAAATTTCCTAGAATGCTGGGAACCTCCCGGTCTTTGCAAATTGGCTCCAAGCCAGGGCCCTCCTTCAATTTGCCAGGCTTGCACTGTGCCAAGGGATCAGCTCAAGGTAAAAAGCTTAGGGTCTCTTAAGATTTTTTTCTGAGAACATATTTACCCTGGGCATGCATATGGCTTTCTAAATTCCTCTATATCCATGGTTGCTTTTGAATGTCATAACTTTCTAAAGAAACCCTTTCCATCTTTTGCCTTAGACAGCATATTGTAAATTTCACTGTATTCCCTGCCCCAGCTGTCTGAGGGTTATTAATTTGGCTTGCATTGTTTTCCAGCTTTTTCACCTGAGCTCCGAGTTAGGCAAAACACAGCAGGACAATTTGCTTCAATCCTTCAGGTTGTTCCCTGTATTAATTAGTCTAATTGGGTTGCCATAACAAAATGCCACAGCCTGGATGACTCAGACAACAGAAATTTATTTCTCACAGTTCTGGAGACTAGAAAGTCCAATATCAAGCGTCCAGCCAATTCAGTTTCTGATGAGGGTTCTTTTTTCTGGTTTACAGACAGCTGCCTTCCCACTGTGTCCTCACCTGACTGAGAGAGAGACAGCTCTTATAACTCTTCTTCTTATAAGGGCACTAGCCTTATCAGACCAGGCTCTCACCCTTATGACCTCATTAATTTTTATCTCCTTTTCATGGACCCTACAGTCACATTGTAGGTTAGGACTTCAACATTAAATTTTGGAGGATACAATTCAGTTCCTAGCACCCCCAGATAGATTAGAACAGATATCACAACAGTCTGTGAGCAAGGTCAGCTTTGCTCCCTCCAGAATCAAGGGAACAATGCCACCCTGAGAACACAGGATGCTGCCACTTTAAGACTGCTACCAGTTTCAGACTGCTGCTTCTTCACAACTGACTGCAGCAGCATTATGACTGCTGCTGCTTTAAGACTACTGACATTATAAGACAGTTCCCATGCAGGGGAGGAGGTAGGGGGAAGACAAGTAAAATCACCACAAAATTTTCCTGCTGCGTTGAAGTGCCTTTTTCTTGATTCAGTGCTCACTTGGTTGCTGTAAACTTTTAAGTGTTTTATAGAGTTCTCACAAAATTGGTTCTGATAGTTGCTATGTGAGAAAAGAACTTGGGGCTTCCCACTTTGCCATTTTGCTTATTGTATACAAAAGATTATAATTTTTGCCTGCTTTTCATAAGCTTTATATTATTCCTCACACCAAAGGTTTCAAAATGATTTTCAGTTCTTATAAGTGAAAAAAATATTTAGATCTCTCTTAAATGAAGGCAAGAAATGTATTTTAAAGAATGGGAAAATTACCCATTCACATTAACTTAACCAAAAAAACTGTAATTTAATATAAGAATGCAGTGAGGGATTCATAGGACTCCTGAGCAGGCAGGCCATCTGCCGGAAGGGGGTGATGGGAAATCTGCGAGAAGCTAGAAAGTGACTCTCTCCTTGTTTTATCTCTCTCTCGGGGTCCACAGAGCTCTGGGCCCTTATTCTTCTCAGATACTCTGCTTCATTTCTGTCTCTCCCTGCAGACTGGGTTCCCCTCACCTTGGGTTTATGTTTGGGTTACAAGCCCCTGTTACAGTTTCAGTGTTCATTCAACAGAGAGTAACTGAGGCCTCTCTCTCTCCCAATTCCAAATTTCCAGAGAGAATCTGGTTGATTCATATTCCTTAAAGAACCAAAACCCGTTGAATCAGCTGTGGCCAGGAAGTAAGAAGGGATTTCTCATATACAAAGCTATGGGGACCCAACCTGTAGGAGGAATTGAGGGGAAAATGGGCGAGAAAGGGAAAGCTTTTCTATCAAGAATGGACAGAAACCCCAAAAGATACCGGTCACAACCCATTTTTAAATTTAAATACATTTAGATACAACTTAAAAGAAAGAAAAAAAGTGCCACATTATGCAGCTAAAATTTGTCAGTCAGTTCTTTACAATAATGGAATGAACGTGCATATTTATAAATGTTCTACTACTTAGGGACTTTAAACTAAAGCCAGCTTCACCTATTCCATTTACAACAAATGTCCTTTGCTCTTGTTGAGCCACTAGGGAAAATAATTAAAGAACATCCTGATTCTCATTCCAGAGAACTAGAGAAACACCAAGTCACCTCAGGGAGCCCCTCCTCCTAAGTAGAGACCATTTCTCTAGATGACAGGAGTTCCTCAGCACACATGTGGCTGTCTCTGCTTTTAAGCTAGTATGTTGTGAGTCATGCTGAGTCCTCTTCCCTTGAGGTTAGAAGTATTTCCTAGACTTTTTTTTTCTTTATTTCTTCCTCTGCTCCATTCTCCACCTTTATACACTGCATGTGTTGCTGAATTCAGAAAATAACACTAACCTCTGCAACAATCTCAAAGTTTTGGTAGATTTTGTGAAGATGTAGCTGTAAGGAATAAAAACTGTTTGATAAGTGCTCTCTTTAGATTCCATAAGGTAAAAATACCTTATCCCGGCAGGCATTTTGATATGAGATGAGAAGCTCAGTTGAAAAGCATATAATGTCTAGAAAGGGAAGCTCTGCCCTTTTCTTCTTAGGATTCTTCCTACTTAAATAAATAAAAATTATAGGTAGCAGGGGCTGTTTCCAAACACCAATAAACTGTCTAATTAAGCCAGTAGTTTCAGCTGATTTGGAGTCATAGCTGAAGAGCAGAATGCAAGAAAGAACAACAATGTCTAAGACAAAACCAGGGAGTTTGGGTAATACATCCACTACATAATTGGGACTTGAATCTTACACTGAGGCTCCATCTTACTTATCCTCACACATTCATTCACCTGTGGGGTTAGCCATACCCCCCCCAAGTTGGGCATTGTCAATAATTAATCTCTACCTCTGATGTCCTCATTTATAAAGAAGAAATACATGTAGTCTACCATTTATTTTCTTGCTGCGGGGTGAAATTTTGTTCTAGGATAAACTCTTAGGCGCAGAGCAAATTATTGGTTAACTGTATGTTTATTACTAAGTATGTTTAACTGCCACTGTTACCATAAAGAAGGGCACACACCCAACCACAATTACAAATTAATTCATGAAAAGAAAAAAGCCAGTCATGATTATGCATTCTTTTAAAAGTACAATAAATTTTCAACAGGCTAATAAAATGAGATCTGACATTTAATAACCTACCAACATGCCACATTCTTAATCCCTAACCGCTTACTATAAATGATGTTAATACTTTACAAAGGAACACAGTAAAATCAGTCACTACCTCTTGAAAGAAGTCTTGTGGTATACACACCTAGAATATTTGATGCTGAACTGTAATTTGACTTTGGATACAAGAGCACAGCAAAAACTAATGAAAGCACTATGTGAGAATCATTTGGCTATGAAAATTCAACACAAAGAATTTTATATTTTGTTATTTTTTATAAAATTGTGAGCTATACATCCTTACATCAGTAAGATTTATTCTAAATTAATGTACATTGATATGTACACATATAAGTAAATATTTTTTAGAGAACTGGTTGTTAAATATTTGCCAGCAGACCATTGTATAAAACTCTTTCAAGCTTCTCCCCTTCACATACACGCATTCAAGTAAAAGTGAATATGTACTCTTCAAAAAAATATTTAATGTTTAATTGCTTAAAAATAAAATAGGATAGACCTCATGAGCCTAATGTAATTAAAAGCATGTCAATGCTTTACAATTATACTGTCACATTTAAGCTCACTGACTACCTTTTGAGGCAAGTTTGGATTATTTCCCCCAAATTCTGGGTAAGGGAATTGAGATTTAGAGAACTTAAATGACTTGCCCTGGGCCATCAGCTAATCAGTGACAAAATTGAGAGCATTATTCAAGTCTCAAGGGTTCTACTGCTCTATTCACTACATATTTCTTCCAGGACTGTCAATGCTTAGATCTCAGAAAGATTCACAATTGATTTCTCTATGACAGGGATGTCAAACTCATTTTTACTGGGGGCTACATCAGCCTCACAATTGCCTTCAAAGGGCCAAAATAATTTTAGGACTGTATAAATGTAACTATTCTTTAGCTGTTAAGGAGTTAAAATGACATTCAGCCCTTTGAAGGCAACCTCAAGGCTGATGCGGCCCCCAGTGAAAATGAGTTTGACATCCCTGCTCTATGATCATGTCAGAAAATGCTTATGTAATACAGGTGTCAGGGATCAAAGATAACACCAGCATCGTATGTTACTGTTTAAAGTGAAAAAGAAACATTCTACTTCATCCAATTGTTTTTTATTCAAACAGCAAATAATTAAACACTAAAATACAGGGCCCAGCAGAAATAAGGCCTGCTTGAGTTTGGTTGGTAGAGCAATAATATCAGCATAATAATTTACAATTTTAATTCGAATGTTTCACCTAAAATGCATATAGTGTGCTTCAGTATATTGTTATGTTACAGAATTACATGCTTATGGTTTTGTAAGATATTATGTAATAAAAAAGGGGTGTTATTTATGCCAGACCCTGTACGTGCTGAGCATTGTGTTAGGCACTATTATACCTAACTCTATTAGTTATTTCTGCAGCATAAGAAATTATCCCCAATGTAATGGCTTAAAACAACCATTTGTTAACTCACCATTTCTCTTGACCAAGAATTCAGGAGCACCTCAGCTGAGTGGTTCTGGCTCAGGTTCTCTCTTGAGGTCCCTAAGATGATCAGGGATGCAGTCATCTGAAGGCTTGACTAGGGCTAGAAGATCTGCTCCCAAACTCACTCACCTTGCTGTTGTCAGGAGTCCTCAGTTCCATACTAGCTGTTGGCTAAAATCCTTAATCACTCATAGTGTGGGCCTCTATACGTTTTATAATGCTTTCCCCCACCCCCAAAATCATACTATGTCATTTCTCAAATGTTCTATTCATGAGAACAAGTCACTAACTACAGTTCAAATTCACAGTGAGGGGAATTCAGTTCCACCTTTTGAAGGAAGAAGTATCAAAGAACTTGTGGACATATTTTAAACCTGCTATACCAGTGAACATAATTTACTTTACAGAACTTAATCTAATATTACTAAATGATTTATTAATTGTAATATTTGGGTATTGAAAGAAAAACTAAGTCTATCAGAGAGTGGTTTCTTAATGTTGTTATTGCTTGTTTGCATTGTGTCCCCATTTCCATCTCACCCTGTTTATTGAAAATACTACATAGTGCTAAATAAATGATGACTTCATCTATCTTAATATACCAGCTAGGAATTGCATTCAGTGCTTATAATAGAAAAGCTGAATAACAAAACGTTAAATAGGAGGAATTCATCTTCCCTCACCCAACAAGTCCAGAAATGGGCAGTCCAGAACTGGTAAGTTGGCTCTCCAAAGCTATCATGAAACAAGCACCTTGTACTTCGTATGCTATTAATAGTGTGTGGGGCTTTTGTTATTATGGTTGAACTATGGCTGTTCTGCCTCCAGGATCATGCCATTGCTCCTGGTAAGAAAAGGAATGGGTACAGGTTCAATGACTAAGTGACCATTTCTTCCATGAAGCTTTGAGTCCCTCCTAGAAATACCCACTTTAATTTTATTACAGGCCACATGGCCAACCATGGCTTATAAGAGTCTGGGGAAGTAAAGATTTTTAACTGGATACACTGTAAACCTGAAAAAAAAAAAAAGAATTCTACTAGTAAGAAAGAAAGGTTATTGCTTTAAACAACTATAAGTGTCAATCACCCTGCTCCAAGGGGCCTCGGCACACGTTACTCTGCCCCAAAGAGCTCTGAGACATGCTACTGAAACACCACACCAAACTGACAACACTGTCTGAGGTTTATCTGTGTTTCAAATGGGAGAATCTGGTTTTGAGTCCCACGTATAAAGTATATTTTTCATAGCAGCCACACTTTCTTTTTTCTAGTGGATAATGTTGGACAAAAGAATTGGTGGACGAAAATATCACTTCTAGGAAATTGTCCCAAAAGATAATTAACCGCATAGTTGTACAAAAAGGGACATGTATGAGGAAGTTCATCAGAGTTGTTAAAAATAGCAAACATTTGGGAAAAAACATAAATGTCAATCAATAGAATACTGGTTAGATAAATGATGATATATCCACTTAATGGATGTTATGCAACTTTTAAAAGTGGTTATTCATGACATACTGTTCAGTTAGAAAAGAACTGTGTACATAAGATCCAGTTTAGAAAGTAATGTATTTATATGTCTTTATGTCTTTTTTATTCTTGGAGATGTATGGAAGAGTAGAACATAAATTTTAAAATGGTTATCTTTGGATTATGAGATTTGGGAAAACACTATTTGTTTGAGTAGTATGTGTTGTTTTCATCAAAATAGTAGCTATTTTCAAAAATACCTAAGGGGGTGGGACAGACTGACCTTATCTGGTATTCTTCAAATCAACATGCCTTGTTGCCAGTAATTTTTAGATGTGCTGTGGATGAATTTATCCTTAAACATTTCTTATCTTTGCTCATTAGAAAACGTTATTCCTTAATCATTATAAATTTCAATGAAATTGAAATGAGGGTTTTGGTTTTTTTTTTTTTTTTTTGCTTTCCTTTCTAACAGTGACTTCTGAGGGCGTTCCTTTCCCTGTTTTACAGCAGCAATGGAAGGGAAGGCCGGGAATGGAGGTAAGGACGAAACGAAGTCTGGAGGTGTCGGCCAGGGAAAGAGCAGAAAACTGAACATCCGGATCTTTGCACTTCTAGCGTAAGCCTATCAGTTTATCTCTCTGACCTCGGCTTTCTCATCAGAAAAATGAGAGGTTTCGATAAGAATCACTAGATGTTTTAAAATTCTTTTGAAAGTTTCTTTTTTATCTATTTAATGGCATATCCTGGAAAACTACACTAGAGCAGAATTTAAACAGAGAAAAATAACAACACCAATAACTTAAGGATGTTGTTTCTTGTTTCTCCCAGGCATGTTAAGTAACAATTAGACTACACAACTAATAGGCAGAACGTCCAAGATTCCAGCCGATTCTACACTCCTAATAGCTTTGCTAAAAGCCACTATAGAACTGCCTTAGGAGGGCATTTAAAGGAAGTAGATAGCTTTCTCACCTTCAAGTTAGGCCTTGTAGATGATGATTAACCCGGATAAATCCAAGACCTTACCCCAATCTTCTGATTGTTTCCGTTGCCTCTATGGCCCGACAGGCTCCTCCCTCTCACTCAAACATAACTTTCCGATTCAGTGTTTTTTTTTTTTTTTTTTTTTGCCAACTAAAGAGGAGCTAAGTTTTGCAAAGCCCTGAGGAAGCTTCTCCTGCCATTGCCTGACAGCACATAAGTAATGGCAGAACTTAAGACCACGTGTGCCTACAGATGGCTTTGTAGTATTATTACTGAATTTTCAGCCCTTCCTAGTTCACAGAACTGGTTACCCAGCACTCGTTTGCATACCTCATCTTGCTGTATTTCCTTTCATTAAGGCCTGACAGATGCCGAGTAAAGAGAGCACGAGGGTGGAGTAGGGGAAACGGGAAAAACAGAGTAAAAGCAGACTAGAGGTCAAGACTCCTGCAGGGGTACATCCCGTCCCTCAGAAAAAGGTCCATAAGGCGCCCCCAGCTTCTGTCCGGGCTGTCTCATTGCTGTAGTCCCTCTTAAGGTCCGGGCTTGTGCCAGACCCTACAGCTGGAAGGGAACAGTGAAGGCCAGCAATGCAGTGCCGCCACAGGGCTACGACCACCGCTCCCAGATCTGACTTCCCAGACCCCTACGCAAAAGGGCGAGGCGTGAGCTCGGCAGCCAATCCCCGCATCCGCACGTCTCCGTAGCTCCGCCCCCCAGCCCCCCCTTCGCGTTCCCCACCGCTGGGGCTGGTGCGGCGGCGGCGACGTAAGCGATCGGAGACCCCTGAGTGGCGCCTGCGCCGTCTGCGGGCCGCGGCCGGGACGCGCAGCGGGGAGGGGCGGAGCGAGAGGGCGGGAGCGCGCGCTGGGAGCCTCAGGCCGCCGCTGCCGTTGCGGGGGAATAATCCAGGCGGCAGCAGGCGGCCCGGACTAGCGGCCGCAAGCTACTTCAGCGGCTGCCGGGGAGAGCGAAGGTCGCCGGTCTCGTGTGGTCCTCCTCTCCGCCCCCCCGGAGGGGCGAGAGGGAGCTGTAGCTGATGTCAGGTACGGCCGGCGGAGGCGCCCTCAGGCTGCGAGTCCTAGGTCTTGGTTCCCCCTCTCCCTCCTCCATTTCGGAGTGTGTGTCTGGGGCGGGGGAGCCTGGAGGGTGGAACCAAACCCCGGGCAAGCCAAACAGGTGTCTTGGAGTCGGGGAGGTGCGGGCTCCTGAAGACAGTGCGGGGCACTTCCTGCTCCGGGCGCTTCTGCGAACTGCCATTGGGTCCGCCTGCCTAGCCGTCCGCTATTTGGTTAAATTATTGCGTCCTTTTCGCCGTGGGTCCTTCCCGTTTGCTTCCACGCGCCTTCCACCTCCCCGCTCCGTGTCTGCCGTCGGGCGACGACGGTGAGACCCCGGCTGCACCCGGTTTACGGCGGGACCACTTAGCGGTCCTGCCCGGCCGGGTCTTCCGGGCGCCCTCCAGCCGGTGGGTCGAGCGGGACCTGTCGCTCAGGTGTGGGCACCTTCCGCGAGAGCCTCCGGGCTGCCGCGCCACCTGAGCTTCCAGGGAGTGGGCGCCTTCCACGAGTGCCGGGGACTTCCTCTGGGGCTTCTTGGAACGTCAGGTTTGTGAGAAATACGTATTTTTAAATATCTCTGCCTTGGCAGAATGACCAAGTCAGGTTGTGCTTTGACCGCTTGGAGGAGGAAAAGAGTACCTCCCTACTTTACCACCGAATATGATTTGATGAGTAGCTGCTGACAAGTTGGCCGTACGGCTTTTGGATGAATTATATGTTCTTAAAAGGTGAACGTTATTTAGGAGTGGGGATTTATGTTTTACCTTCTACCTCTTACCCTCTCCCTTTATTTTGTAAAATAATACATAGACCAAAAAAAAAAAAATCACACGCTCTGGAAACGTTGACTAGATGTATAAACTAGTTCACTGAATTCATTATAGATGTTTGGTGTATCGTTTTTACGCTTCTCAGATTGGAAACTATTACTACCTGTGAATTGATTTCATTATGAATTTAAAAATTAGTTATAAAGTTAGGTCTTTAAAGCATCAGAGCGAATAATTAACCAATGTGTAAGGGATAGAAATATGTTCATTGACTAAAAGCCGGGCATAAAACAGATAGCTATATGTCTGGGTACCAGGAAAAAGTGTGCGTGATTTCAAGTTGTTTAATTCTGGTGTAAGTTTAGACAGTGGGAATCTTGAGTTTTTAAGAGGTATTTAGCTTTTCACATCCTTATCGGATAGATGTCAAATGAGCTTTGTGCACATGATGTTTTATGTATTCTAAGTATTATAGTAAACTATACTTACTTTATTTTCTGTCAGTCTTAGTACATATTGATATGCAATTAAGTGAATATAAAGTTGTGAGTTACCAGTTAACTCTTTTTACTATATTTTAAGGAAAACAGTGATTTACTAAGGAAAGTGTGACTCATTTAAAGTTCTTAACAGGAAAAGTTTTTCAGTACTAGTAGAGAAGTATTAAATGTCTCTTGTAAATATGCCTGGAATTTATGTTTTAATGAATCTCTTAAATTAGGACTTAGCATTTTAAAAATATTTTGTGATTACTACCCATTTAAAGGTAGGTATCTTTTTTTAATATACTTTTTTGGTGTAGAGTATATATTTCTGAGTGAATACAGTATTCAGAAATTATTAGAATTTTATCACAGACTTATTTAGGTGTACGTATAATGAGTTAACGTTCACCTAAGTCAAAGAAATACAAACGTTTGTTACTAGACATACACCTTTTACTACTTGTATATTGATTAGTGCTCACTAAAATAGCAGCTGCATTATATATAGCTTATGAACTTTACAAACCATGGTAATTTAAAGTAGTCTTTGTGCGGTAAAATCATTGATTGGAATTCTTGTGACAGTGCAGGTATAACATTAAATGGAAGATGGACAACCATGCTGAACTTAAGATTCACTTAAAATATAAGCTTCCCAATATAACTGTGTGACTAAGATTTGTTGAGATACGAGTAGAAAGGCTTGTGGATGGAAGCCAGGATGGAAAGAAAAGTATAACAAAATTCTTTTACCCAAAATACAGTGGGATTAAGGCCATTCTTTTAAAAGGAAAAGAAAAAAAAAGGGAAATTAGCATTTTATCTTAAAATCTAAATGTGTTTCTAATATGTACTTAAATTCTCACTTTGCAGCTAATTCAAATGTCCAAGGGGAAAATGCATGCCAAAATCTGTAATGTGTGAAAATATGAAGTGTCCCTTGGAGAAAAAAAAAGCTCCCATCACAACTTGGGGGAGTGCTGCTGGTATCTAGTGAGCTTAGGCCAAGTATGCTGCTAAACATCTGACAGTTATCAGAGTAGCCCTCACAACAGAGAATTATTCAGTTCAAGATGTCACTTGTGCCAATTTAAGAAATCTTGGCTTAATGGGACTTCTGTAAGTTGGGGCATAGGTGGTAGAGGGAAGAGGGTGTTTGTTGTGTAGACAGAGAAGACAGTAGGAATAGAGGAGCTAACTTCACTGGGATGTTTAGCAAACTAGAGATAGTTAAGGATTGCTGAAGCATAAATTAATAGGGTATGGAGTATCAAATGTTAGTTGGGAAACATGGAGAGAATCTAGATTAAGGATTTATCATGGACGTAATTTTTGTCTTATAGGCAATGGGGTTCCACGGAGGATTCATGGAGTGACATTTAGATAGGTCATTTGGTGACGGAATGGGGATGAATTGAAGAGACAGCATTTGAGTCAGGGAAACTGGTGAAATATTGCAGTACCTTAGGGGAGAGAGGAGGATCTGAAATAGGACAAGTAGTAGAAATAGGAGAGGATGGGTTAGAAAAATATTTAGTAAATAAAATTGGCAAGATTTGGTAACTGGATGTGGGATAAGGGTAAGGAGAGTGTTAAAAATATCTTCCTGTTTTCTACTTTAGATAATTGGATGGCTGCTAGTAAAGTAGGAACCTATTGGTCAGTAATTTAGGTAATTACCAGCAATTTAGGTGAGATGAGCAGACTTAAGGGAGGAAGGCAGTGAGAACAAGTCTGTTTTGGAATGTTGAATCTGAGATGCCTATGGTCCAGGTGCAATGGCTTGTGTACGTATGATTCTGAAACTTGGAGAAGTCTAAAAAGGATCAGGAGGTCTTTTCGTGTGACAAGTGTAGGAAAATTAGTGCAATTTATTTTTTCTTATTTCACTCTCTATATAAAATAGACTCCCTTTATTTTTCTTGTCAGGAAAGTGATAGGTATGTACTTGACTTAAAATTAAAACAAAAAGGTTATAAAATGAAGATAAATTTTTTTTCCTGCCTGTGCTACTGGGTCTTAGTGCTCAGAGATATTGCTTGTTAAATATTTTGTGCATAGTAGTTCCCCCTTATCCATGGAGCATGTGCTCCAAGATCCCCAGTGGATACCTGAAACTGTGGATAATACCAAACCCTGTTATACAGACATACCTTGGACATATTATGAGTTCAGTTCCAGGTCACTGCAATAAAGCCAGTCATAATCATTTTACTGCTGGAGGGTTTTGCCTTCCATTTGTAAAAAAAAAAATCAACATCTGTGAAGCACAGTAAAGCAAAGTGCAATAAAACAGGATATGCCTGTATATACTGTTTTTTTCCCCTACACATACATACTTTTTCACTTAAAGAAGGCACTTTTTACAGCTTCTCTTTGATACCAACACTACTGTTGTGCGTTGGGGCCATTATTTAGTAGAATAAGGACTACTTGAACATACTAATCAATACTGGTGGATCTGATAACCTGACTACTAAAGCGACTAATGGAAGGGGAGCATATACAATCACATCCTGGGTGGTATAGAGCTGGATAGCATGAGATTTCATCATGCTGCTTAGAACAGTGTGCCTTTTAAAACTTAATTGTTGATTCTGGAACTTTCCATTTAATATTTTTTTGACCACAGGCAACTGAAACCACAGAAAGTGAAACTGGATTGGGGGAGGAGTTGTGTACTTATTTTTTAGAATTTTTTTATATATACAGAAGAATTAAACTGCATGCAGTTATGTGATACAGACTGTAGTAGTGCTTTGTCTTAAAAAATAAATCTTTTATCTTACACAGTTGTTAAAAGAGGTTGTGTTATGAGAGAAAATAAGAGAAAGGGGTAAAGCAGAGACTAATGGATCTAGAGTATCATATCTTTGATGTAAATTAAAGGATACACATACATGTATGCTGATATGGCATTACTTTTTTTTCCCCAAGGATATGCAAGAAGTGGTACTAGTTACCTTTGGGGAGAACTAGTGTAGAGTTGGGAAGGAAAACATTTTCTCTTCTGTATATTTTTTTTTTCCTATGGTTTCAACTGGGTTTGTTTTACCTTACTAACAAAAGGTGATAGTTTTTGCCAGAAGTGCGAAGATTTTTATTACTGCATTATTGGTCATTGTTTTTAATAGCTGCAGAATGTTCGATGGTATGGATTGTGTTATTTTTTAAATAGTTCCTTGTCAATAAACAAACATAGCTGTGGCTGCCATGAACATCTTTCAGATCGTGACCATAAGAGAAATTCCTAATTACGAAATGATGGGTCAAGGCATAAAAATTTAAAAGATAATGCCAAATTGCCCTTCTGAAAGATAGTAAATATTGTGAGAAAGAATGTATGAGTGCCAGTTTTCTCTCATATCCCTGTCAATACTGGATGTTACTAAACTTCAATTTGTTTTGCCACTATGTTAGATTAAAAATAGTATCTTTATTTAATTTACGTTTCTTTAATATGAATGAAATTTAAACATCATTGACCACTGTATTTTCCTTTTCTGTAAATGCCTTTTTAAAAAGCTGTTTGTATTTTTTATACTTTATTTTTAGATTTTATTTATTTATTTTTAGAGAGAGGGGAAAGGAAAGAAAAAGGGAGGGAGACAGCTTGTGTGGTTGCCTCTTCAGAGGCTCCTACTGGGGACCTGGCCCGCAATCCAGGCATGTGTCCTAGACTGGGAATCCAACTGGTGAACCTTTAGTTTTCAGGCTGGCACTCAATCTG